TAATTGAATTGTTTTGCCTTAATGACCGGGAAACTTCGGAAATTCGGTAGATCGGAGCGCGCTGCCAACGCGCCGCATGGAACAACCGTAAACGACTGCCAAAGTTCAAGTCAAGCTCTGAGCGAAACGCCGCTGAGCTTATGGGCCGCGAGCACTTTAAGCTACATACATATGTCCCCACCCTTCCACTCTCTTGTACGCCCCGCCAGCGATCAGTCTGCATAGGTAGTCGCCCTATGCCTTGTGTTCAGAGAGAGAGAGAGGCAGACAGAGAGAGAGAGCGAGCGAACGGTTAAACATCGGCAGCTCGCAGAGCTTGTCGCATCCCGAGTCTTTAATGATGCTGCAAGTTTAGTTGTTGCTGCTGCTGATGAGTAAGACGTTGTTTTTGTGTAATTTGGTTATAAAAGATATGTACGACCCATTAGCAAATTAGTGCAACTATTTTCTTTTTTTTTTGTCTATTCATTTTTTATGCATATTTAAACTTTAAAGTTTACTTTATAATTGCGTTCATTAGCATAGCATTAGGCAAGGCTTGAAGCGAGCTGAAGCTTAACAGAGTAGTTCAGCTGATACGCTTATCATTTAAACGTGAATTAGATTATGTCTTATCCTTTTCTGGCACCTGGTTTTTAAGGTCAGGTCTGCAGCGCGTTCCCTCTTAAGGCCTGCCTAAGAGACAACTTCAGTTCAGCTGCTGCCAACTACAAGATTTCGTCTTAGCTTCGCTCTTGCAGCGCGGCAACTCTAGTGGTCCGGTCTCTCTCGCTCTCGCTTTCGCTCTCGCTATCTCTCTGTTTCTTTAGGCGCCGCGTGGGTGCACTTGACAAGAGGCAAACGCATTAACAGGTTTTTTCTTTTTTTGGCTTTGTGCGTGCCACGAATTTTATATATGAGACTTACAACAACAACAATGGGTGAAGCTTTTGCTGAACTTGACACGATTTTTGTTGTAAATTTACAGTTGTTGTTGTTCATCCAAATGGCTTCGCGCTTGTTGTTGTTGCCGTCATAGATATTGTGCAAAAATGTTGAGCTTTAAATATTAAACAAATGCAAATGCAAAACGCGGCGCCAATTAAAGCTAAGCCAACGGGAGCTGCGAAATGAATAAAATGAATGATTTGAATTACATTTGTTTGTATCGCTTGTAGCTGAGTGTTTATACTCGTTCACGAATTAAAAGAGGGTATATCGGTTGATATGACATTGAAGTTATTTGCTTTTGAGTCTGCCACATGACTGAGCCTGGTTGAGCATGCCACAGTACTAGGCAGCAGCCTCTCCTTTAGTGGCCTGTCTGTGCTGCTGGTGCAGCAATATTGCTGCACCTTGCTTCTGACTGCCGCAATGTTCGCGAAGCACGTGTTGTTGTCCGTCCGTCAGTTTGTCTGCCTAACAACCCTTACTTTATGAAGCGTTTAAAACGAAAAATAGAAAACACCTTTCTGAGTTTTATAATCAAAATCGTCAAATTATCAGGCAGATCAGAGATGGCCTCCTTCATAGATAGACCTTAACTTAAGTCCGGCCATTGAGGCAAGATTTTTGAAACCATTTAACTGCCTTTTAACTGCGAACAAGTATTAGGCAGTCGAGCGCAAAGTTGTTGCTTGCTGATCATTGGGTGAGTTCAATAACAGCAACTGTGACTCGACCACAAATGATTAATATTTGTGCAAATCATGAAATTGTTATTAATTTTTCATTTTCACTAAGCTCATTTTAATTTGCATTAAAAATAAAAACCGTGTTCATAGAGTAAATTTACATAAAAAAGTGTGAATGCAATTTTTAAAGTAAGTTGAAATTTTTTAATGGCACCTACAGTTACCCACACATCTATAACTCCCTACTCTCTTTTTAAGTATCAGCACCCTTTTTGCGTCGCCTCCGCAGCTTGTCTTGAGAGTGTTTTGTTTTTAATTATTTTGTAACATTATCCACAGTTAGCCTAGTTTTTGAAGGGCCCTGAACCCAGTTTCTTATTTGCGTGCAGCTCGCTGATATCGTAATTTAAATATTTATTGCATTTTTTATGCCTCGCTTGCCACTTGACTACGAAGCAAGCACATCCTCGCTGCACACTCGCACACACACACACGTACAGTGTGTCCCCCTTTTGTGTGACCTGAAAATTAAATTCAAATCTCGTGTAAATACCCAAGGCAAAGAAACAGTTTGTGTTCCACAAATTGATTGCATGTGTCCCGGTCGACTTACAAAAAAAAGGATGAACGACTTAAAGATACTCCAAAACTCGGATGCCTTTAAACTATAGTTTCAATCAATCTATAATTTGACTCCAAAACGCTTAGACTTATACCTCATTGTGTGTTAACCAAGGTGTTGTCTTACTGCTGAGCTCTTCTCTCTGTCGCATATGTATGCTCAAAACCAATATGCCCCTTCAGTTTGCTCGCAAAAACAAACATATTGAAATCTGTGGCATTTGATAAAATGATGTATGAAATTTCACACGACAGGAGACTGCCTGCCCATAAAGCTGGTCCAATAAAAAACAATCAAATGTTACTCGGCAGCACGCTATGCAAATATATATATATATATCCTCATCGATGGCATGCGATGGCAATTCCAATTTATAGATAATTTGATACGAGCTGCCAGTCTATCAGTCCATCAGTCAGTCAGTCAGTCCGTCAGTCGCTGAGTCAAAGACCGCGCTGCCAGCTGGCAACTGGCAACTGGCAACTGGCAACTGGCACAAGGACATGCAAGGCGTAACTTTGCTTATGCGCGTTTCGGAATGCATTTCTAATTTGTATTATGCTTGCAACTTGCAATTTGCTTGGCTATTGCCATAAATATTTCAAGTCATGAACCCAGGTGGGTGTTGAGTGCGTGCCCCCAAATAGCACCAAATGTGCAAGGTATTAAATGCAATTAAATGAATTAAATGACCTGCGAATGAGGCCAACGTCGTGTCGTATGAGTAATACGAGCCACTGTCTGCTGTCGCTGCTGCCGCTCGCGTGTGTGGCACTCCATAGAACAATGGCAGCAGCAGCAACAGCAGCCTGTAGCAGTCACAACATGTTCAAGTGACCTACCGCAGCCCCTTTCCTGTCCCGTCCGCTTATCACCAGCCTGTCATCGTCTAGAGGCGCAGGCACTCCAAGGTACATGGACAGCTGTCGAGGGGTCAAAGCGAGCGAGCCAGCGAACGTCCGATTGATGAGCAGTCAGTCCAGAGCCCCCGGCATGTTGGCGAAAAACTGTGTCATATAGAGTGCTAAAAGATTTATGTGCTGCACCTCGACTCACTCTTCTTCTGTTTGCCTCTAATCCTGTCTGTTTGTCTGCCCCGCCCCGCCCCTTCCCCCTTCCTGCCTATTGCTCTCAATACGTGGCACCAACGACAGCCGCTCACCGCAGGCTTAAGTGTCTCTAACTGCCAGACAGCTCAGTCACATATGTCGCTCTCTATCTCTCCCTTTCCATAAGTGTGTGTGTTTGCATGGTATAGTTTTTCATTTCGCATTTCCTACTGCTCGTCGTTGTTGCTCTTGTGCCTGATGTGTGCCCTGCAGCAAAGCAATTCTGCATAATTGCCAGGCCCATTTCGTTGACTGTTCTGCAGTTTGACCCCATAAGAGCAGCTCTCATAGAGCACATCTCCTGAACTGGAGCCAATTGGTTGGGATTTTCGGATTTGTGCAGTTCATGTTGGCCATGAATAATGTAGGCAATTTGTGGGCTGAGGCGAGGCTCTGCTTTATGCAGATATACTTTCAACTCGAAACAACATAATTGCAAGAAACTGTGCGATGATAGAAGTAATAATATATATAAGAATTGCTTTATGAAACATATATCCATCCAGAGATATGAATATTGTTATAGATATTGATATTGATATTGATATAGAAATTAACATATGGACTAAGATTTCTTCCCATTATTGAACTACATTTGGCAAGTCTATATTGCAAGACTCTTTTAAATCACATTCATCAAAGTGAAGTCATTTCAATAGTTATTTTAGTTCATAGTTAAGGTCTTATCAACAAATTCTGCAGATTTTCACAATCAATTGACTGCACTTGGCTCGGTCACAAAATTCAATTGCATTTGCCAACGAATTCCACTTAATGTCAGCGTTCGCCACCTGCACAATAATTCCCCGAAATGAATTATTGCGCATTAAGCTAACAAGGCCCATACACACACCCACGCCCACACACACACAGATGCTGCACACAATCGCAGCGGCAGTCGTTGTCCTTCGTACAAGACAAGCCAGGGACGCGATGCAGCCTGCATTGCTGGAGGCCAAATGGCTACGAGAAGCAAAACAAAAACAAACAAAACCAAAAAAGAACGTGGAAAAGTAATGACAATAAGGCGCGAAAACGCGCTCGGAAAATTCCAGCAGCGTATTCAAGGCAAGGGCCCCTAAACCGCGCACTATGCGGGCGTACCATAATAACACGCATACGCCGCGTTGTACGTGCAAAATCAAAACATAAACCAAGCGTAGCCCCAAATCTAGTAGCTGCACTGGCTTGTGGGGCTTTCCAAGTGTGTGTGTGTGTGTGTGTGTGAGTGTGTAGGGTTGGGGTTGTTTTTATTTGGGTTTTTCGCTGCACTTCGTGCCGACATCGTCTACATGTCGTGAGCGCGTGACCAGTTGCCGAGTGAGTGAGAGAGGGAGAGAGTGAGAGTGAGAGGGATAGAGCGAGAGAGAGAGAGAGAGAGCCGAAGGAGTTTCCGCACATGTATGATGGCGATGATGATGATGTTGTAGCAACATAATCGCCCTTCGTGCAGCGCTGGTAAATTGCATTTCGTTTCGTGAGTTCAGCTTTCAGTTCTGTTTCAGTTTCGAGTCCGTGCAGCTGCCTGCGAGCGGAGCCAGCCAGCCAGCCAGCCAGAGCTAGAGCCAGAGCCAGAGCCAGAGCCAGCGCCTCGGCCGAGTGCAGAAGTTTAGCAAAGCAAAGTAAAAGCAAACAAGTGCAGTTTGTGTTCTGTTACTGTGTGTACGATTGTGTTTGTGTTTGTGTTTGTGTTTGCGTATGTGCATGTGTATATATGCCCCCGCCGTAGCATAGATACAGAGATACCTACACATTTCCAGCGCCGTCCGCCTGAAAAGTGAAAACAAACCAGGCCAGCGCGAATTGCGAATTGCAAATTGAAAGTTCTTCACTTGAGGCAAGATTCGAAAGAAAGCAAATTCCTTGACTTTCTAAGCACATTTTGCTCAACATACGACGCACAATCTACAAGGAGACCATGTCGACGCTGCCATTTTTGCTGAGCGTTGCCGACGAGCTGGACAACATTCATACACAGTCCTATCTGGATGACTTCGGTCTGGGCTTCCATCCGCACCGTCAATACTATCGCACGCCCACCATACAGCTGTCGCTGCCAGCCAGCACGGACTGGACAGGACGCGCGGACTGGCAGGGACGACATGCGCGCTATCGCAGCTACAAGTTTTACGATGACTCCGAGAACAATCTGGAGGAGGAGCAGGAGTCAGAGACGGAGCAGCAGCAGAAGTTGCAGCAGGAGCAGCACAGCTTGCAGCTGGAACAGCAGGAGCTCAGCAATGAGCAGGTGCAGCAGCAAAAGCAACAACAACAAGCACACACTGCCAACATGGTGAAGTCGAACTCACATGACGTGGGCGTGGGTGGACTGGGCCTGAATCTGAAGGCCGGCGAGGAGGAGGATGATGAGAACATCGATCGCACCGTGCGCATGTACAATCTATCCAAGAAGTGCTGCAAGAACTACTATCGGCATGCCTTGGAGATGGATGGACCCGGCGCCAGTGGCAGGAGCAAGTGCAGCAACGCGCGCACCGAATGCCATCAGTCGTTCTCCAGCTCCGAGGAGAGTCTGCAAAAGGTGCCCTCGCCCATTGAGTTTCTCACCTGTTTCCTGGTAAAGAAGACGCGTACGCCCAAATGCTCCAACCATGGCGCAGCTCCCAGCCGTGCGGCCGTTGGGCAGCTTAAGAAATCATAGAACGCGGCCGCGTTGCTGCCAGCAACGACAAGACTAGCAGCAACGGCAACAGCAACAGCAACAGCAACAACAACAACCGCTTCGGTCTCAATGACATCGACGTCGGCGTCGAAGCGTCGCAGCAACTGTTTCTGAATGTTGGCCAGAGTCGGTGTGCTCTGCGGCCAGGCCTGGAGCTGGCTGCAGCGTTGCGGCGAGCTGCCCAGCTCGGAGCCAACGACGTTGCCTGCAACGCGCCTGGGACGCATTACCTACTAGGCGTATAACCACAAAGCAGGAGGCGTGGCACACGCGACTCACACACACAGATACGCACACACACACACATGGCAAAGTGGTTTTAAGGCTGGCAACAGGAATTTGCATAGAGATTCGTGCGGCAGGCTTCATTTGCAGCAAAGGCCGCTTGAACAAAACACACACAAGCGCACACACAGACACACCAGCACACACCGAAATTGTTTTTTGGAATTCTTAATAATCGTAAAGCAACTAAAATACAATACACAATTTTTAAAGCCAGAGATTTTTTAACGAAAATAATGCGAATTTGTTAAGCAAACGTTTTTTATACGAATTTTTTGATACCTATAAAGCAGAACAAACAGATTACTATTTATATATACCTTATATATATATTATATATACTATATTATACATACTTGTACTTGAAAATATGGGCAACTTTAAGGCACAGCCAAACAACGGCACACATTGCTGAAGCAGCTCTCCCACACCCCCACACACACACACATGAAAAGTTTCTTATTTTGGATGGAAAAAAAGGAAAAGTTTTTTATAGCACAGCAAATGAAGAACTAACAAAAATTGCAGAAACTTTTCGACAATGTCGGCAAGTGTTGGAGTGGGTTCTGGTACAGTTCTCGGAGGTTATGAAAAGTGAAACATATAACAACAACAATAACAAGATGAAGAAGAAGAAGGACATTCATGGTCCTTGCGCCCTATGCAGCTGCTTATCGAAATGGAAATTTTGTTGAAAACTGCAACTAGACAAAACAAATAAAACTGATTCGTTTACGATTTGATGATGCCCCACGTAATATTTCCGTGTTCTTAACGTATTCTAAATGTTGAAAAAAAAACAAGAAAAACTAAAATACAATTTAGAAAAATGAGAATTTTATATATAAACGAAGCGAAAACACAAAAAAATAAATGAAAATCGTAGCTGTTTGCACTTTCAGAGTTTAGTATGAACTAGAACTACAAACATGATATATCATACTCGTATTATATATGCTCGTTCTCTTAGTACCACGAATACTATATAAAACTACATATATATATATTTATATATTTAAACACAAAAACTGAATTATAACTGCATATTTCAACATATTTGGCGTAGTCGCATGAGAATGGATTTCTCTACGGCATGCGCCCATTAACAGTTAGTTGTTACTTGATGTCAATCATAATCGATATAGTTAACTTAAGAGCTCTCTCTCCCAATAACATGGCAAATGTAGCAAACCAAAAACGTTGAACTCTTAGCACATATCTCATATCTATTATATATATACATATATATATGTGTGGAGCTTGCAGGCTCTGATTATTATTGCATAGATTAGACTTATTTTCGATATCATCTTCTTCTTAAGCACACTACAAATTCGTTACTGCATACTTTAGCAACGCCAGGCATATCATAAAGACAAACTTCAGCTAAATCGTAAACATATTTAAACTTGAGAATTCAATAAATGAATGTGTAACAAAAACAACTTCAACTTTTACTGTATATGTGTATTGAATGCTTACAGATTGCACATATCTGGCCTTGGGCTGAGACAAGGACATGTGCTGTGCCATATGTCCTTCATGCCATAAACGAAAACTTGACACTCGCATTAATTTTCCACGCGGACACTCGAAACAAATTTCCAACGTCAAACTCAAAAATTTCAAGTGCAAAGTGAGGGAAGACACAAATTGTGACCTTTAAGCAAAAAGGACGACAGTCAAGCGGCATGTCCTTTCGCCAGCTTTTGCATGCATATAAGCTGCAAGCCCTGGCTGCTGCTGCTGCTGCTGGCTGCGGCTCTCCTGGCCCTGGACATACCAAGGATACGACGTCACCTTTCCGTATTGGAATTTCAAATGAGTTGCAGTGACACTGGCGATGCGACACAACCTTTAACTCCCTCCCCCATGCCTCACCCGCCGTGACAGGTGCTGTAGACAGCGCGCATCAAAGACCGCATCGCACATTACATTTGTGCCAACTGCGCCGCACTCACTTTCCATTTCAGCGGCTTTCGCTCTCCGTATTGGGTTCAATAGCACAACACAAAAATAGACTAATGGAGCGTCAAAATGTTGCACGTAGCACAGCTGTGCTGCAGCTCTCCTCGCCCACTCGCTGGCTGCTCTTATAAATAAATCCTTGTTTCCTTACGTATGCAAACAAGTGCAAGACCAATGTGGGCGTGACTGAGACGCCGGAATGGACAAAAGGAAATGTGTTTCACTTGTGATGCCCTGTACGCATTAGGCAGACAGGAAATGGGTATGCTAATGATAAGAGTAGACAATAGAATTCTATTTCTATAAGAGAACCTTGTATATCGAACATCCTTTGAGGTAGTTTTAGTAACTAATTCAGTCTAGTCGTTCTACATTCAGTCTTGTATTCAGCACAGACTGTAGGCAATCTGTAGAGTATCTGACTAGTCATGACTAGTCATGCACTCTCGACACACAGTTGCGCTGCTTTCTGTTCATTTTCTTGTCTGCTCGAAATAGAAGTGAAACTTTTTACGTGCTGGCTTTATTCATGTCTCTAGTTACTTCGACGTTCGAGCTGCGGCCTGTGCTACAATTCTTTCTGAATGGGCGGCAAAGTGAGAGGGCGACGAAACGATGGTGCTCACTCGCACGGCCAATTACAGTTTAAGTTGCGCCCGAGCCTGGCCGGCTCCGTCTTCAACTTGGGCAATGGCACCGCATTGCAATGGCTGTGGCAGCCTGTGACGCTCTGCTCCTGGGTTCGCCTGCACCACAAAACGTTTGCCCTTTTGTGGTAGAGTCTCTACCTTGGCGACTGCTTGGCCGCAATTTTGTTTCCTTTATTTTTTTTTTCTTTGTGCACCCAATTTGCCAGCAACTGCATTTGTGCCAGCACCAGAGCACGTCACTTGAGTCCGGGCTGCTCATGAACTCTGCCCCTATTGGGCTCTGGTGTAATGTCGCACTGATTGATTTGCCGCGCCCCATAAAACTTTACATTTCGTTTAAATTGTTGTGTTTACGCCGCTTATTGGTTTGCTGTAATTAGTTTGGCACCATTTCAGTTGAGCAATTTCATTAAGTAGACGCAAAACGAGCGCGTAATTACGTATACGTAATTGCTGCGGGTTTTCAAAATTTGTGTAGCCTACTTTCAGGCGGCATCATAAAATATTCATATTGAATACAATTAGCTGCTGCTGCAGTAGATTATGATAATGTTTTCATTTAGTTTAATCAATATTAGTTTAATATAAGTGCTTACGCGTTTAAATTGATTTACTACCACAGAACTGTCCTCCCTTTGCAGAGGTGTTGTCAATGCACTAAAATTAAACGACTGAAATGATTTCTTTTTGTAGCTGCTGCCTCTGGCAGCTTGCCCGCTGGCTGACAAATATGTGGCGAACAAATGAGTGAACATTTATGGCCACAAGCTGGCTGCAAGTGAGCGTATTGCACGCGCCGCAGCTCTAATAGGCGAAGAGGTGCATCTCGAAACGCGCAACCCCACACCCACAGCCGCAAGCGCAAAGCCAAACACAGAGCGAGACCCACCCGCCCAGAGGCAGCTGCACACGTCTGACCTGTGGGTGGCCACATGCCAAGCAATTGAGATCCACTTCGATTTGCTTTCTATATACATATCAGTTAATCTTGTGTAAGCGACTGGCAAAGAAAGTGCCTGACTGCGACCCACACCCTTTGGCATTGATCGTTGGGATCGTTTGCTTCGCATTTGATTTGATTTTGCCATAAACTCAAACAAATTAGTCGATTACATAGTTGTTTTTTCTATATAGAATTGTTTACCGATAATTACAATGCATTATTGTCACTAGTTTATATTGTTGTTGTAGCTGCTGCGGCACTTCATTGATTTTCAAACGAGAATTTTGCGCGCGCATTTCACGGCAACACTAGGCTACAAGGCAAATGCTTAACACAAGTGAATACATGTCTCTAGTAGAGTTTATGATCAAATTATATAGATATTAATAGAGTAATTAATATAGACTAAACAAGTCGAATTCGAAATCATATAATATAATATCATATCATAAAATATTATTGTCATTAAATAATTGAAGATTCAGCTAGAATCTTATTTAGTTATTAATTTATATTTAACGACATTCAATGTAATTCTCGTCATTCTTATTGCAGCAGCGACAACCCACTCGCTTTCTGCTACATTTATAATTAATTGCTGAATATCTGTTTCTATTGATGTGCACCGCGCTGTCAATTGCTGACTTAGTCACAAACTCATTGAACTCATTCGAAAATACATAATATACACAAATATATATATATTTATATAGCTACTATGTGTATACGTTGTAGGGCAAGGCATGTAAATTGTCGCCGTTGTCTTTATAATTACTATCAAGCGCTGGCAAAATCTATCGCAGATACAACAACAATAACAACAGAACAAGAAGAACATAAAATACAATTATAAACGGGTGGGGTCACACACACACACACACACACAAATGCGAGACGGGGTCACGGGGTGTCGGCAGGTCAGGCCCATAAATGTTGCGATTCACGATGAGTTCATGTAGCTGGTTCTTGTTGTTGTTGTTGTTGCTGCTGTCGCTAATCTTTGGTGCAAATCGATGGCAAAAGCCGAAAAGCCGTTTAGCAGACAACATCGCCATACAAATTGCCTTTTGTTATGACAACAAGCTACAAATGTTTCAATCCAAGCGTCGAACATGCTACAGATACAATATCTCTATATCTGTGACTATATCTGTAGCTGTGCCGCAGCCGTAGCCTTAGCTCTGCTAATTGAAAATGAAAATCCGCATAAAAAGTCAATGCCGTATTTGGTAAAAAAGTGAAAAGAATTATGCGACGTTTTCAAATCTTTGTTTTCGGATTTCCGCTAAAGAAATGTTTTTAATTTAGCTTAGGCTAGCTTCAAATACATATGGATAGCTCACATAATAGCGGAAATGCTGCGTAATTAAGTTGAACTTTGTGCGCTTGGACGTTATGGGAGACTAGGTTTTCGGTCTACGGAGATGCTCTTGGCACAGCTGATCAGAGCATGAGTTTCTTAGGTAAATGCGACTTTAGCGGAAGCTTTCCAGTTCAGCCCATTGGCATAGCAAATACCCCCAAGGAAATGCTATTGAGCTGACGGCCCACTGACAACTGCAGCCCACTAGCCCACCAGCCCAACCAACTACAGCAGCCCCATCAAGATCGAGTCGCGAGATCGCCCGCTGCCGAGCTGCTGCTGGAGGTGCATACGTCACAGTTGTCATTGCTGCTGACTGCTGGCTTAGCCCACTGGAAGCGTAGCTCTATATAAGGCGGCTGTGCTGTCAGTATCGAGCTTAATTTACTCAGCGCAAAAATCGCGTGCGGACGTTCAGAAAACGCGGCGAATCGTGAAACGTGAAACGGAAAACTTTCCTATCTAAGCCAAGCCGTTACAATTCGCAACGCGCTGCTGCGTCCTGCCAAAAAGAAAGCACATCAACTCACACACACACACCTAGTCGAGATGGCTTTGGTACCAGCTACAAACAACAATACGGATTGGGATTATTGGGATTATCGTCGTCGCCTGTGGCGCGATTGGGATCTGGCCGCCGACTGGGATGTGCCCTACTGGAAGCGCTTGTCCCGTGTCGGCTCAGCGCCCGATCTGAGTCGCGTTGTCGTTGGCAAGGATGGATTCGAGGCCAATGTGGATGTGCATCTGTTCAAGCCCTATGAGATAACGGTGAAGACAACCGGCGACACGGTCGTCGTGGAAGCCAAGCACGAGAAGCGGCGGGACGGCGACAGCTTTGTGGGGCGCCACATTGTCAAGCGGTTCGTGCTGCCGCGCGGCTACTATCCCAACGATGTGCGCTCCGAGCTCTCCTCCGATGGCATCCTCACCGTGCGCTGCCCACCGTATCTAAGCAATGAGCGCAGCGTCTACGTGCGCCAAGTGGGACCCTCGTACCTGAGCATTAAGAACTAACACACACATTAACACACACACGCAGAGAGAGGATGTTGTTTTGTTGTTGTTTGTTTTCTGTTGGCGGCACTGCCTTGCGCAAAGCTTTCCAAAAATGGCACACGAAACGAGAATTTGTTTACAAATTAATTTAATTAATTTAAGATACATTTTGCACAAGCGCCTAACTGAGTGGAAAACAAATCTGATTGGACTCTTTTTATTGTAATTAACCAAACCCATTTTTATAGTTCAATAAAATGAAAGTTTAATTTATTAAAACGAAAGTAAGCCAAGTGATTTATTTAATAGATTCTGCTTCTCGGGCAGAAGGGAAATCCTCATAATAAAAAGACATCGCGTGAGACCCCAAAAAACATACGCCTTTTAGAATGTCAACATAAATTGACCAAAACGAGACTCGGACAGCGGCAGAGCCCAGAAAAACGAGTCTTTATACTTATAAATAAAAATATATACACATATTGTATCTAGAACGCCCTTGGGCAATTTCCGCAAATGCCAACTATGGTAAAGTTTAATTGTAAATAAAGCAATAAACAACAACGAGAAACCTGCCAGCCTGGAAGACTAGAGCAGCGCATAAACCTACACGGCGGCACATGTGTCCCAAGAAAGCCCCAATCGAAGTGTGTATATAAATAGTCTAGAGATACATCTGACAGCTGACCATACTGGTCAATGAATTAACAAATAAATAGTGCAAAAAAGCAAATAAGAAAAAAGCAAAAAAAATCATCAGCAAATAAAATAACAATGTTTGTAAATAAAGTCGCACGCCCACAATGCAAGCGACGCAACGCGACTTGTGCGCTGTTTAAAACGCGTGCAATTTGCTCTGTGCTCGACGGCTGAACGAGCCACTTTTGTAGCAGCTGTCTGTCATTGGGTCAATCATTGAGCTGGTTCATTCAATGCCTAACCCGAAAACACTTTGTTGTAGTTTAAACAATCAATTTGTCAATCACATGTTGGTTGCAGCAAATGCCAGACCCGATCAAATTTGGAGGTCTTAATACTCAATTGATTTGCTGTTCTGGTTGCTGTAGATTGGCTTTGGTATAGCAAATAAAATACAAATCTACTTGAAATAGAATTTAGAATATTTATGGGAGTCATTTCTGTAAAATTTTATATATATATATATATAGAAGAGCAAAAGAATGCTATTCTGATCTTAACCACGTCAGCTCGTATCTGGCTAAAGGTCATCGCTTAGTCTTACAGCCTTAACTCAATTTGATTCTTTGTTATTTGCTGTCTCCCTTACTCTCAACTGCGCTGCCAATGCTCACTAGCTCACTTTAGAAAAATAAACCACAATAGAGGGCGCTTTGACACTTCCGAAGCTAATTCAAGAATCGTGGCATACTTTTAGGCTGGTGTTTGATTGAGCTGCTTTAAAAACTGAAAAAGAAGTAATGCACTTACTGTCAAAATAAACAAGTCACCCGTCGACCCCACCAACTTGGCGTTGCTTTTGATAAAATGATCTTAAGCATTCTTTTGCTTTTTGCGCGTTGACTTACCAACGAGCTTTATTAACGATAACTACAACTAATTAAAACATGCAAAATGTATGTCTCTATATAACAATGACTGCCACATTTACGAGTGGTGCGAATGATGTTGGTGTTGGTTGATGATGGTTGACTGGTTGGTTCTCTATGCGGATGTGGAATTTCAATGCCATCTTACTGCTCGTCCTTCTGTGCTGGTGGATGTGTGCGAATGTATTCGATGGCGCGCAGCACATAAGCCGGAACGGGAGGTGGAGTTGGCAGATGGTCACCAACTGGATGGTAGCCCTCCTCATCGGCGGTGTAGCTCAATGAGATTTGCTCGCCTTCGGGCGAGACGTAGGCAAGGGCGCCACGTACACCAGAGGGATTGCCCGCCTCCTGAACCTGAATACCATTGCTGGTCTCGTAGGCAAACTGATAGTTGCCCTCGGCATCGGATGCATCATTCTGGAAGCTGCGAATCTGTGCGTCCTTGTTGATATTGTCGGCGCAAGCGCAACCAATGAGGGCGAGGCAGAGCACCTGTAATTAATGATTAGCAACGCGAACTCTGCGAGGCATGGCCGTGCGCACTTACGTATTTAAACATCTTGACTTGGAACTTGTCTGAAGACTTGGGATGGGCTTGAGTGTTATAGGACGGATGCTTTAACTGCAACTGATTGCTCTTCTCAACAGCGTGCTGGCTTTTATATGAATATGGATCTGTGGCTCAGTGTCGCAAACGGGTTTTAATCGTTTTTTATGGCATCAGCAATGGCAAACTGGCGAACTGACAATTGGCAACTACATATGGGCGAAGAGGGCACCAATAATTGCCAAAAATCGTATTATCATAATCGAAACATTAACAACAGCAACAACGCGGTTAACTATAATCGAATAACCGAATACCTTAAAATGCATGAGTCATTTGCCAGCAATTTATTTCCATGCTTTAATTTCGGTGTCAGTTTTGCATTTGCCTCATGCACCTCTATTTCTTTATTTCCCACCTAAACCAAAAATTATTTGTGGCTTACACAAACAGAAACGCAAACACAGAGACAATCATACCGCATACCAGACAAAAAAAAACCAAGAGAGCATCAAATATAAATAACTTACCAACTTTCAGTGCGTGTTTCCCCTTCGAGCCCTGCGGCGCCCCTTGCTCCAATTGGTAGTTGAAGTTCGACTTCGATTTGGATGTGGATGTGGATGTGCAGTTGGAGTTGGCAGGTGCGCGCGCCCGCTTGGAAGCTGGCGCGAATTGTCTAACTTGAAAAGCTGTTGAAATGTTTGGAAGCGCAAGGTCGTCACAAAAAGCATTTGGACGGACAGACAGACGACGGAACTCTGAAGATCATGATGATCCATTATAAATTAGATGTTTGACTATTAGAAATGGTTATTATAATTGATGCAATCGTTTCTGAGTCGCTGATAAAATGTTGTAATGCTATCTGTGAATAAAACTAAAACAAATAACTATGCTTTGGCCTTTCCTTCATGTCTTGCATAAAATATAATTAATGCTTCTTCAATTTAATTTATACCTCCTGTGTTGCTTCTTTGCCTCTCGCGCAAAAAAGTTGTTTAATTGTGCTAATTTCATTGTCTATAGGGAAGTAATTAAACAATAATTAGCATTATTAAGTCTGTATGTTGTTGTGATTCAAAGTGTGCAAGAAGCATACACAAAGCACCAAGTTACATAAGAGGAATTCTGTTCTGTCTGCTGGCAGCTAGGGCTAACAAAACATAGATGTTATTTATGGCCCGTATAGAGAAAAAGGTAACCAAATAATATACCACTAAAAGATTAATAGGGTTTCTTATATATCCAACTGACCAGCACTGCCCCCATTTAGAGCCAATTATAGTGATTGGAATATGATTCAATTAGAGGCTGTTAATGGATAGTTTAAATAAATCTGTTATATGAATCTGAGATGAATATTTAAAAATATTCAAATCAAAAAAAGAAGAGATAAATGAAAAATAAAATATGTATTATATAAGTAGCTGAAATTTAAGCATAAATGTCTATGTATACAAAGAAGATTTATAATCTTTTAGTATATTTGTGATTAGCATCTGCAGATTTTAGTTTTGATAGCTTCATTAAATTGCTTTTCGCTAATAGTAGCGAACATAGTGTGTTTTTTATTTGCAATTCTAACTGGTTGTTTGGTATGGCGACATAGCTGAAATAAGAATTTAAAGCATGCGAGCCAAGATTTGTCTCACCAATTAGTATGTTTTTTTATTTTCAGCGATTATATTTTATGCTTTTATTTTTATGGAGGAACTTGTTATACATTTCAGAGCTTTATAAGTTGTGAAAATAAATATTTCAGCCAAGGGGCGTCAGCATACATATTTTAAGGCTTTGCATATTATAAATGTAAAAATATAGCTCTAAAAGCCGGAAATAAAATTCATTAATATTTATAGCAGCCAATATATCAATTATTGCAGTTCTCAACGACTGCCATAAGATCTTGAACAGCCCACGTCATAAGAAAATAAAAGTTAAATACGAACGAAGAATGCATTATCCATCATCTAAATACACATTCAAAAATACAAATTAGCTTGGCATTTTAGCAATTCAAATTCAAATGTGCCGATTGCAAGATTTAGATCTCTGTTCAGCAAGTTTGTGTTCTAAGTCTTTTGGATTGTGCACGTGATTAAGAGAATCCGCTCTAATGGACTAGCAGACGTCAACAAATGGGCATTTTATTAGCGACTTTGTAAAGTGCAAAGATCGCTTTCAGCTCATGGCAACATAACTATTAAAATGGAGGCTCCGCCGAGCGACTAATTTATTGTCATGCCACAATATTTATATGCTAATGCGAACTTGTTCCAAATTTGGGTGCAGAATTCTTCTTTTGCCTAATTAAATAAATAAACTGGTTTGGCCCGATGCTGAATGGCCAGCCAAATCGAAATTGAAAGTGATGATAAATAGGCTTTTAGTTTTTCATTTTTGGTTTTGTTTTGTTATTTAATTTGATCAAATTGAAGCTAGTTTAGTGTTCAATGAAGCTGAATCGTAAAATGTTGCTTAATCCTACGGCTTCTTCGTTAAAAACAATAACAAATGCTACTATCTTGATGGTTCATCAGCCAGAGCAGACCACTTTGAATGAGTTTAAAATATTATCGATATGCTTGCCTATGCACATAAAAACTAAATACCTTTATACATATATATATATATACATATATATTAAGTTTTGCCCCGAATTTTATGTGAGTTAATCACAATTTGCTATTTGCCTAAAATATGCACACACACAACTTAAGCTGAACTGATATTTAGTACAACACGTCGTCAGAGCAGCTCAACAGCAGATTAGAAACGACGCCGACGAGGCGTCGCAGCGCCTACATCAAGTCAACTTTTTGGATGAGCTCGAGTATAAAAGTCTGCGATACGCAAAGACAAACAAACAGTGTGAATTAGACAAGTAAAACATAATGTTCAAGCTAGTGAGTAGCGAGCACAGCTCGCAGAGCATCAAGAGGATATTAACTTTAACTAATTGAAATCAAATTAATTTTGCAGTCGCTCTGCCTTATCGCCGCTCTGCTGGTCTGCGCCCAGGCCGACCACATCGACAAGGATGCTCAAATTTTGAGCGAAAGGAATGATCCCGCCGATCCGGAGGGCAACTATGCGTATTCATACGAAACAAGCAATGGCATCCAAACCCAGGAAGCTGGCAATGTTAATGGTGCCAGCGGCTCTTACCGCTACACTTCCCCCGATGGCCAAGTGATCACTCTGACCTACACAGCCGACGACAATGGATTCCACCCAACTGGCGATCATTTGCCCACAGCCCCACCAGTTCCCGATCATGTTGTGAGGCTGTTGGAATATATTGCAACGCATCCAAGCAAGCAGTAGAGCCATTTCAACAACAGTTGTAGAATATCATAAAATAGAGTGCATTAAACCAAAATAAATATTTGAAATACAAAAAAAACTGAATCATTTCAATGGGCAACACATTTACATATATATTATTTCCCCCTGAGCGAGGACGTTGCAGTGTTTAAGTTTTAGCACATATTATATATGTATATGGATCTCATAAATATATAATATACCTCAGTTTATGCGCTTTGAGCCACATTTAATGGCGGCTCATTAATCAAAAGGTAAAGCAGATGTTACCATAACGATCGGCCACAGGAATTAACCATATTTGTCGAGGTAAGCTGTATTTAAAAAACTAAATATACATATATATATATATAAGTTTTCAGAAATATCAGACGGAAATTTATGCAGTCAAATGTGGAAGCTGCAGGGCCAGCAAGTCCAACGCTTTGCACCTCTTTTGCTGCTTACTCTTTGCTCGCAAATGTATGTACATATATGTATATAGTTTTCAATTTGTCATTTCAATGTAAATCCGACAGTTGACCCCCAAAACTGAAAAAAAATGAAACCAGCACATATAAATACCAAGAAAGAGTCTAAAATGTGATGCAAGCGATCCAATGTGCCGTGTGGCTCTGCTTTTAGCCAAACAAGTTTCTCGGTTAATAACACTTTCGCCTGCGCCTGCGTATTCTACCAGCCAAAAATGTAGGTCAACTGCGAACACGAACTCAGCAACACGCACGTAATACCCATCTGCTGAGTTAACCCAACAACATTTAGAGGTGACATAAGAGATCTCGAGAACAGGCTGAGAATATGCCTCAAATGTGATTAAGATAATGGCTTATACCTTATTATATAATGTCAAATACGAAGAATCTGACCTTTAAACAAAAAGTCGTACTTAAAAGTCCCACAAACTGGAATTGGTGACTTCAAAGGGTTAACAACGTCAACGAACAGCAGCGCATCAACTGCATTAACTCAATGCCGCGTGCATGTGTAACCAGTTCCTCGTTATCCTTCAACACACAAAACGTAGCGAACAAAGTTTTGGTATATAGTTACATATAGTATGTGTATATAAACGTTGTGTATTTATAGCAGTGGGCAGAGCCAGACATTAAGAGTGTAATCAACAATTAAGTATATAAAATTAAGTGATGTGACATCGATACACAGAATCATTTATGCAACAATAAATAAGCCCCAATTGACCCAACCTTATACTGAACTTTTGCTTCGCTGTTGCTGTGATGAGTGAGCTCTAGAGTTTGCTCTCAGCGGCTTCCTTAGCCTTTTGACGTGCCGCTGCAGATGCAGCGGGGCCAAAGCGTTGTATAAAGCTGTTGATCGGACCAATAATGTCCTCTGGGTTGTTCAAGTGCAGATGATGCGTGCCATTTGCCGCCACATACTCGAAGTTTGATTTCTTTAACAGCACCTCAAGCACTTCATCGTAGTTCTTTTTGTCCTCAAAATAGGTCGACTGCGATGCCTTGATAAATAAATGGGGACACGTGATCCGGTGAGCCATTTCGACGCACAGCTCCTGGGAGCCAATCGCATAATTGTAGAACTTTAAGCGGCGATCGCGGCAGAAGAAGAATTTGTCCGGATACTTGCCCGACTTCTGGATGTTACGCGCAAGTATATGTTTGCAGAGGTCCTTATTGACAGAGTGAAAGGTAGCTAGGTAGACGCGCTCGAGCAGCTCATCGTATGTATAACTTGGCGGTTCGGTTTTGCTACGATTGCGTTCATCTTCCCGCAGAAATTCATCCAGACGTGTCTCCATGGTTCGTATGACCGCGGGATAGGGGCGCTGGTGTGGTTTCAATGAATCAATGCAAACTATCATATCTACTTTATCGGGAAACACAGCTGCAAACACAAAAGCAATTATGGAAGACATTGAATGGGCAACCAGTGACACCTTCTCCCATTTATATTGCTTCATGATAAGCCTTATCACATATAGATTATCCACCGAATTGTAATAGCAGCCATCTGGCAAGCGTGAAGACAATCCATGACCTGGCAAGTCTATTGAAAGGAATGCCACGTCTGGCGATAGCAAAGGCACTAACATATCGAATGTCCCTGCATTATCCTGCCAGCCATGCATACCCAATATGGGCTGCACATTCTGGGGACCATACCATTTACCAGCAATGTGGCCCCAGGGTACTTTAATGCGGATCTCAGAGAACTGAAAGTAAATTGCAAAACAACTTTTAACTGAGATTCACATTCCAAAGATCAAAGTGCGCACTTACAACTCGCGTTGGGGGCTCACCCGTAAGGTCGCCCGCATGTCGAAACCGCTGATTGAGATTGAGCTCCTCAGAAGAGCCGTCAGTGCCTTCACTAGAATGTTCCTTAAATTCAAACTCCATGATCCTCACTGGAACAGAACACAAACATGAATAGGCTTAATTCCAAAGTTTAACCCTATAAAATAGGCAAATGTATTCTTATCAGCACGCGATTAGCTAGAAGCGATTACGATTCGTTAATTAAATCGGCGGGCGCATTGTTTAGCTAAAACAAAAATAACAACAAAACGGTGCTTGTCAAAAAAAAATTATATATATAAATGAAAATTAGTGCCATGAAATTAAATTATCCATGCCGTGCTCGAGATCTGGAATATCAAATACCAAACACCCAGCAACTCCAAAGTTCAAGGTCAACAGGTGTGTATGATTGATGCATGCTCTTGGTTTCAATTTCCACTGCCGGGTCATCAGCACACACCCGCACAGTGAAATACTTACACTTCCATCAATTGCGTAGTCAGACGTAGATAATAAAAATTTATTTTATTTTCTACACTAATTTACTGTTTAGTTAAAATTACCGTGGCAACTAAAGAACAATAAACTAAACAAACAGCTGATTGGCGGTTGAGCAAGAGAGCGAAATCTAATTCTAGAGATGATAGCAATAAGCTTCACAAGTGTTGAAACTATCGATTATTTAAGACAGCACCGATAGTTGCATACGTTTGTTGTGCTATGAAACTGTGAAGCCGTTTGTAATTATTTTAATATTTGTTACCGTGTAAGAATATAAATTATATTTTTCTCCATTTATCACCTATTATCGATTATTTATAATATCAATTTTAATATAAGTGTTATGTATCACCATGCTATAAATAATGTTAAGCATGCACATGTATGCGTGTTTGATCGTAGGGTATTCAACTTTCACCATCGTAATTTTGAATTAAGCTTGATAAATCTCTCCTGCACAACATGTAATCAGATGTTTCATTTCATCACAGTGAGCAAGCAAGTCTGACGCTGTACTTCCGCGCTAATATTATTCAATATCACAATTTTACCTAATATACACAGAAGAAATGACAAGTCAAAGAAGTTTGCGCCTGCTCCAGAAACTTGCAAATGTAACTCAGCAGAGCTTTCGTCTGTCACACGGTCAAAGTTCATCCACTTCGTTGAAGACACTAACAAAACATGTAGGTAACATAATTACTTCACTTCCACGTTGAATTTCTATGAACTATGAACACATATTGCAGTATGACGAGGTTAGCATCCCAGTTCCGTGGGGACATATAGCAGGAAAATGGTATGGACCGAAGCATGTTCGTCCTATTCTAGGCATGCATGGTTGGCAGGATAATGCTGGCACGTTTGACACACTCGCACCGCTACTGCCCCAACACCTCTCCTTTCTCAGCATAGATGCACCGGGTCATGGCCACTCCTCGTGGCTGCCGCCTGGTGTCATGTATCACTCCATAGATTATGTGCAGCTGGTGCTGCGGATAATGGAGGAATACAATTGGAAAAAAGTGTCCATAATGGCCCATTCAATGAGCTCCATAAATGGTTTCGTATTCGCCTCCCTATTCCCAGACAAAGTGGATATGTTTATTGGCCTGGACATTCTCAAACCACTTATACGTAGTCCGAAACATATTGTGAACGCGCTATCCGAACGCCTGGCAGACTCTCTTAAACTGGAGCGTCGCTTACGCAGCGGCAGTGAACCGCCTGCTTACGAATGGGATCAACTGGTTGAACGTCTACACCAGGGCACCGACAAGTCCGTTGACTTGGAGGCCTGCAAGTACCTATTACAGCGCAACAGCAAACCCTCCAGCCACGAGCCTCACAAGTATTACTTCTCCCGCGACAATCGCCTAAAGAACTCGCTGTTCTACACACTCTCCAATGAAATAGTATTGGAAATGGCATCACACATCACAGCGCCTCATCTCTTCATTAAGGCACTGCAGGCATCCTACTATGAGGATAAGAAATACTATGATTCCGCACTGGCGGTGCTGCGGCAGAATCCAAACTTTGAATATCACGAAGTTGATGGAACGCATCATGTGCACCTCAACGAGCCCGAGAAGGTGGCGCACATCATCAACTCCTTCATAAACAAATGCAGACCCCTATAAAAAGATGTAGATGAAATGAATTCTCAACTGTACATACTTTCTAGTTATTATCTATTGAAAGATGCAGATATCAAAAATATTGTTTTTGTAAGCCGTAATGCTCCCGACGAATTTAGATCATAATTGACGACGATGCGAATTACTTAATAAAAGAGTCTTTGATGCTTCTATTTAATTTAATTACCATTGATACTGGCAATAACATTACAATTAGAGTAGATTACAAACTTGAAAATGTTTTTGAGTAGTTCTCATCTTTTGTTTGTTTGTTTTGTTGCATGTTTATGGAATTGGCGCTGCTACTAAAAAGCTAAGAAATGCTGCGCAAATGATTACAAATTAAATGTTTCAAAATGAACAAAAATCAATAATGATATTTGTTCCTTTTGTGCGTAGTTTATTAAAAGTAAATATATCAAAAAAAATGTACAAAACGATTTAAAAGGAATTGTAAACCATGTGTAAAACTGGTGAATCTATTAGCTCCACATTATTTTGGACTGATTTTCATGTGCACTGCACCCAAATGAGCAAGTGGAGTCAGCATTTCTTCAACAATCAAACCTAAAAACTAATTGTTTAAAATAAATTATGCAATTATAGATAATAAGGTAAAATCTATACTCATGCATCAACTTAGATATTATGATTTTTTTTGTTTGTTTTTCTTTAAATATATTTGTTCCAAACCAGTCAGCGCAAAATACTATTTGATGATAAAAATCATAAAACAAAAGAATATTGAAGCTGCTGCTGTTTCGTAACGTCCTTAATATAATATATATAAACTATATATATATGTATATTAATGATAGGCTTTTGTATAATGTAAATGTGTATATCAAGCGTAATAGCAATTGCTTCAGTTTCGCATGGATTTGTTGCGTATATATGAGTGTGTTTTGGTTTATATCAGATTCAAGTTGTTATAGAAAAATATACATATATGTTAAATAAATATATATATATATATAATGTAATATACTCTTCTAAACTACTAGACATACAACTATATGAACTAACAGGCGTTGCGCAGGCGCAAACAGCGAACAATTTCAACATTCGTGGCTGTGCAACACCCGGAAGCTGCTCTTTAAACATTGTAATAAAACAACAACTAGTTTCTAGGCTATAAATAAATACAATAAATAAGTTGTTTCTTAAAAGAAAATGCTTTGCAACATTTAGTATGGATTTTTGTTTTGTTTTGTTGTGTTTCGTAAAACTATTTACAATTGAATTCGGAGCAAAGCTATGGCTTAAGCCACCGGCGAGGAATCGCCTTTCATGTCCCGCTCACGAAAGAATCCTCGCTCCGTTTTGCACTCCCGTATGGTGACCGTCTCCAGATTGACAGTAACATCCGTGATGACCACACGATTCGACATATTGCACTTGGAGGGCAGCCAGAAGCGCGGCGGCAATGCACGTGGGGATAGCGGGCTTACCGGTTGCTTTTGACTCAACGCCAAGGTGCCAGTCAGTTTTGGTATGTTATTGTTCTCTGATGGCGGCACCGCAGTCGTTAAGCCCTCATCGTCCTCCTCCTCGGTAAAGGCGGGTGCAGAAGATTCACCAGTTTCTGTTTGAGTTCCTTGCAGCGTACCTTGTAGCTCTGTTTTGTGTGACTGTGCGGGCGTTTCCGTTGCATTCTGCTGTTGATCTTGCGAGGACTGCAGCGGCTTAGTTGCTGGTCCATCTGGCGATGTTTTAATTGTGACACCAATTTTACCCGATTCTTTGAGAACCTCAGCTTTTCGCTTGGTGCCCATAAGTGGTTGATCCTCTGAGCTTGATGAATTGGTGTCTGCCTCTGGTGCAAACGTATTCTCATTGTGCGTAGAGCTGCAATTCGATGAGGAGCTGTGATCCATGCGCAGTCGCTTCGCATCATGATGATGATGATGATGAGTTAACGGCGATTCAGAGCGACGATTGCTAATACGTTCGGACTTTATACTTTGGTTGTTGTTGTTGCTGTTGTGCTGCTGTTGGTGATGATGATGGTGGTGATGATGGTGTTTCTTATCCTTATCCTTTTTATCAGCGCCATCGTTAGTTGCGGTAGCCGTCGATGTGGTTGCCTGATTAGTATCAGGCAAATCATCACCGGTGAATGTATACTCATCCTCCTCAGACTCTGGGTCTGGATCAGGCTCCTTTTCTTTCTTTTCCTTTTTAAGTGCGGCTCCACGTTTCGAGGGCGTGCCTGAAGATTTATTGCTTTGCTCATAGATGTCAATTAGGCGACGGTCCAAGATGTTTACCTCGGGCTCCCATGTGTTATACCGTTGGTTCCAGCCCTTCCATTTAACACGGTACTCCACAACGCCCTAAAATGAAAAAAAAAGTTAAACGGTCTTAGAAAAAATAATATAATTTTCAAAAATAAAATATACATCTAAATTATTTTTGTATATAAAAATTTATTTGTTACAGAACATCTATTAAATTATTTTATCATATACGATCGATCGCACATTAAAAAATATATTTGGCGCGTTCCAAACACACGGTGCTAGGCGAACTAATTGATTTTTCATCGATGCCGATATGTAGCACAGAGTAAAAACGAAAACAACAACAACAACAGCAACACACACAACCACACAAGCGCAGCGTAAATGGTGGTTGCTACTGCCACAGGCTGCTGCAGCAGCAGCGGCAGTAGCACGAGACATTGGCGCAGCTGCCAGCAGATGGACGACGCGAGCCTCTGCTCGAAATTTCGAAGGACATGTGACCTTGTAATTGTTGTGTGCTGCGCACATTTGTCTTTCGCATGCGTTGCAGTTGTGTTATTATTTTTGTTTATTTTCTAGAACGTACCTTTCTAACGCGCTTCTGGATGATTTTTTCGGCAGCATAGACGCGATCGTCCGAGCTGCCCATAGTGTTGCCGTCCACTTTACCAATTTTGAGGCTTTTCTTGCTCCTCCGCTGAAATATACAGGTTTAACACTTGGTTTGCCTTTTAATTAACGTTTTGTTGCTCAATTGTCGTTTAATTTTTGATAGTTCTAAACGCAAAACTTTTTAAAAACAAATTGCGACTGACATTTACACTGGCTGCAAACAATGTGACCGCATTATTGAAAGTAAATAAATCCCACAATTACAGCAGTGTTATCGGCTGGCCACCACCCTGCATCGGGCAGCAAATAGTGAGTAGTGACAACTGTTGTGGATGGTGGAATATGAAATGTGGATCGTAAGGTGTGGCCGCATACGAACAGCTGAAAAATCCGCCCATGAACTATTAAGCATTATGATATCAATGCGATTCGGTGTCACTGTTTCAAGTGCGAACAAAATAAATCAAATTTGCAACGTCTAAGTGTGTGAGAGAGTATACGAGTGCAAAATGATTTTTATACAACTAAATTAATAACAATGTGATAACGCGATTTTCAACCGCACCGCATACAGATATAAGCGCGTATTAATTTATAATCGTAGTGTGTTGTTCACAAATCAAATAAAAGCGAGGAAATCGAAAATGTAAAAACAGGCCGCATGCGACAGGCACACACACACGGACACAGACACACGCATACGCGCACACGTTGACACACGCACAAGCACACACACAATGACCCAAAAAGGATGTCGAGCTGCGGCAGCCCATAGTAAATACGTTGTTGTTGCCCGTGCCAATTGGGCCTGCTTTGTCGTCATAGATTGGGTCGATGAATGGCACTAGCTGCGGCGCTCGGGCGCAGGATGCCATTGCCGTTATTGCGTTTGACAGATAACAAAGGGAAATGAAGACGTCAGCATCGGATGAACTGGAAGTGGAAGTGGATGTCGAACTGCGGCCGGGGGCTCAACATGGCTGCCTAATTAGTGAGGAGCAGGCGACGAAGCCAACGTTATTAACGATATATTTATTTACGCTGTGATAGTGAAATACCAAAAACACCAAACAAACAAAATAACAAAACAAATAAAATGAAAGAAAAACCCAATAAAAAAAACATGCCAAGAATCAAACGCAATATTTTCGCTGATGCAAATTATAATTGAAAATATAAGAGAAAGACTAAACGAACAAAAACAAAAACAAAAACTAATTTAACAAGAAGCTTTAACCAAAAATAACAACAATACACCAAGCAGAGAAGAGAAGAAGAAGAACTATACTAATATTAACTGTAATTAACCTAGTGAGAAAAAACAGCACCAATTAGCGCATAACCCGTAGATGAACTAGTCAATATGTTTAGCTAGTTACAATTTATACTTAACAATTATTTAGTGGCTTTAACAAAAACACCAAGCAACCAAAAACACCAAAAACACCAACTAAGGAAAAATAACAAAATCAAAGTTCAATTGAAAAGAAACTAACGAATATACGTTTAGGGAATTTCAATATAAATAAGCTTAGCCAAGTTACTTATTAAGTTTAGAGCAAATATACACATACATATATATATATACACATTATATATATACATACACATACATATATATATATATATATGTATAAATAATAAAGAGCCGCCACGCACACTGCAGCCCCCGCAGCAGGCCCTAAATCAAATTCATTCAGAAAACGTGCCATAAACCGGACTGCCAGACGTCGCTAAATGTCAAAGTCATAAAGAGAGCGATAGAAAGACAAACAAAGAGAGAGAGAAAGTAAGCAAAAGAGTAGAAGCGCTAGCTAGCGTGTGAGAGCGCCTAAAAGCACACCGTAAAGTTTGGACCTCAGTACAAAAGCTCAGCTTTGCTTCTGCTTAGCCAAGACACAAACCTCAACATGGCAAATGTTACAACTGCAGGAACAACAACATCAACAACGCATCACGATGATACGAGCAGCATGAGTGACGATGTATTCGAGGATGCGGAAACGACCAAAGCACGCATCGAGGAGCTGCGCCGCCGCCCCTTTGGCGATGGTTGCTACAATCCGGTCGCAGCACCCGTTTCACAGCATCATCACCATCACCATCACCATCCCAATACTAATCACAACAACAGCAGCAGCCAACAGAGCCTAACGAGCAGCCATCACTATCATGACCATGATGCCATCATGGCTCCCGTACAGCGGTCCGCCACCGGCTATCCGGGTTATCGCCCATCCCGCGAAGCAATGCAGATGTATGCCTATGGCAATGCGGAGTACGAGCTAGAGGATGATTACGATGATGGTTGGCGCTCGTATCGCTATGATGAGGTGGACATGCATCAGTCAGCGCCACCTGCCCATCTGCAACCCTTCGACGACACCATCAATCACAAGACGATCCTCCTGGGTGACTCTGGTGTCGGCAAAACCTCCTTTCTGGTCAAATACAATACGGGCGAATTTCGTTTGGGTTCCTTCTCGGCCACCGTTGGCATTGCACTAACGGTAAGTCGCAACTAATGAGAGAGAGAGAGAGAGATAGCGAGAGAGTAAGTTAATGATATTTAAGCAACGCATCTGTGCATTCTTCTCCCTTCGCCTGTGCATGCCCAAAGCTCACGTTCCTGCGGCTTTCAAAAACATAGATAGAATCATAATCCCATTTCGTGGCTTTGCTGTGCGCACCTATTTAAGTCTGTGCCTGTGTGTGTGTAACTGTAATTGAGCAGCAGCCGCAAGGGTTTTGTAAGCAACATATTGTTGTGTTGTTGTGGCCCGTTTTCATGTACTTCATGCTGCTGTCTATTTATATCGCGCACAAATCTCAGCAGCGCATTCGCATTGATTTTGTTGCTCCGATGGCATAAAAATAAACTCCACGACACGTTAATGCTGAGCAACCAGTATGTGTATGTGTGTGCTTGTACGCTTGTGTGTTGTGTGTGTATACGCACTTCATAATATTTACGACACGTCACGCATTAGCGATGGCAAAAGGTATCGCAACGTTTTGATTGATTAGCTTATTAGGACTTAGTTGTAGAAGCGTTTCTTTGTGAGGCTTAAAGGATTTATTTTTATGAAGTCTTGTGAGGTTGTAATAGAATTTATATTTTTTAAAATGACTTCATTAGTTGATTAATACTTTAAAAGCAATTTCAATTTAATATTAAGATAAATATATTTTTTTAATTAATTATAATATGATTTTTGTATATATATTTATTGTAAAATATTGTCTTAACTATTTTAATTTGTGTTTGCGCTTAATAATTTTAATTTGCATTTAACTTTATAATTGTCATTAAAATAAATAACAAAAGAATTATTTATTATATTTTTGCTTATGAATTTTGTAATATTTTAGTTTCAAAATATATGCAAACGTTTCAAGTGAAATTTCCGAAATGAACGCTAAATTGCATTATTTAAAGCTGCAAGCTTTCGAGTGCGCCCTCAAGTAGGCAACATATTTTGTATTCACAACCTGTTGCCGACTTTCACTTTCGCAGCTCGCAACACGAAGCAACGCAGCAGCAGCAGCAACGACACGTCGGCCATCAAGGCAATGAAGTTCAAGTGCAACAGTTATATTTTGCCATGGCCCGACCCTGCCACCTGGTCCACATTTTCGTGCCACACTCTAGCAGTCCCTTTGGACGCATTCCTGGCGCGTGCTCGACATTGGCTGTACGCATTTCTAGGCCAGGGCTGCTGCTGTGTGAGCCGAAGTGGCACGAACTTGACTCGGCCCAATAGCTGAAGGACTTTGGCGCTGGATGCTGCCGCCTGCTGCTGTCGATGCTTCTGGCTGCGTGCTCAGTTTAGTTTTGTGCGCTGCTCTTGACGCTTCGATTGGCAACGGTCGCGCACTTGCCGAAACAGCATCCATTCAAATTTCAGTTACTGTGCACAGTTTTTCAAACGGCATTGTTGTTCAGTAATGTAAAGTGAAAACGAACGCAAACTCACTTACACACACGCACACACACACAGAGCTCCTTTTGCACACACAGAAACAACACATTGAACGCTGCAAAATTTCATTGCATACTTTTGCGCGCATTGTGAGTTAGGTGCAATTTGCAACATTTTCAGCTATTAGTTCTATGCTCTGTCAGTGTATGTGTGTGTGTATGTGCGTGTTTACCTGTATACTATCAATCTGTCTGTGTGCGTTTGGGCTTTTTGATGCTTCCGTGTTTAAAAATAAAAGGAAAACAATTTATGGAAGGCAGCTAATAAAAATTGAATTTTGTGTGTGTGTGTATGTGTGGATGTTGGATATGTGTATTCTAGAAGATATGCCTTAATTAAATTCCAGCAGCTTTATTGGTCGAATATGTATAGTATTTTCGTGTGGATTAAATTACATATATAAATTTATTAGAACAGTTTTAATTGAATGGAAAGAAAACACATTCTAGTAAATAATGCTAGTAAATATTTAATTTATCTATGTCAATTGAAGCCATGAAAACTCAAGCATAAATTTGTACTTCATTGAGCATCATAATAATAATATCATTATATTCCCTCTAATGCTGTGCTAGCAGTTTCATATATCATCTATACTATATACATAAGTTGCATATACTATTTCACTTGAAATCCGATTTACTGCAGACTCTTATTTATAGCCTGTTAATGCAGTTGCTCTGCAATTGACTGTGTTTTGCTGTTGTTGTCTCATGCATCGACAGCTCGTGCGTTTGTTCGTTTTGCAGCTGTCTTCGAGCACTTTCATCTTGCTTAAGTGCGCATTAATTATGCGGATGTGCATTCAATAATCGAAAGTCAATTTCCATTCTGTAACCAGTTGCATTGTCTGCAGCTAGCTCAAGTTCAAGGATAGTTTAATTGAAAAACACTTTAGAAATTTCAAGCAGGAAGCTAGGGATTTCATGGAAGCTGCCGTAGTTGCGACATTTCCCGTTGGGATTCTTTCACGGAAATGTAATTTAAGCCGATTACTATCACAAATCTTTGCTGCAGTTGTCGTTGTGTCCAGCTTCATGGCGTGCTGTCCTGTCCCCCCCTTGCGGCCCATAGTCCTGTCGCTGCAGCTAGCTGTTGAGTGGCTTTCATCACAAATGCCATAAAACGTTTTACGGCAGCCGCACATCAATGTAAAGCTGTCCTTTCGGTTGCCCAGCATTGGCTCGCCAGCTTCCTGTTAAAATATACTGTAACGCCCACACACGCACGCACACACACGCAGACACACACATACATGCAGACAGTGTTGTGTCTGTATGTTTTGGTCATTTCCTTAAAGCTGTCCATGCAATCAGAAAGCCATTGTCTACATTGTCTGCGCCTCTTTTCCGCCCACTTTTAGCCGCCTGATTGAACGCATGATTGAATGTGTGTCTGCGTGTATTGAAAGTGTGTTCCTCGAAAGGTATAGGCATGGCCGTAAGAAGTCTTTGACGTAGGTAGAGGCTGAGCTAATGCTGCGTAGGCTTTACGAAACATGTTCAATCGGTCGTAAATGGAGGGTTCATATTGATGTAATTACGCGCAGACTGCTGCAGAAATGCTGTTCGATTCATTCAGGCATCTCGCAGTGCCATTGTCGTTCAAAATTTTACAGTTGAAGTCGTTGAAGCAGTTCGTTGCGCTGGCAACCCAATTAAAAACTTTTCTTATCACAGCATCTAGATTGCCAATGTAAAGTTGATTATGTATCATTTTATGCTGCACTAATACGAGAAGGTCATTTTTATGGGTCGATAGACTGCTAAAAAAGCGCTGGCCGAGCGAATGGAAAAGGATGCGCCAGATGGCCCAAAAGGTCGCACTTTAAAAAAGGATACGCCGTACGCATCGAATGAAAATAATAAAATTGATACTTGATATGGCAGGGTAGGCGACGTAAACTAGCATGAGTATGTTAGGAAATGCTTGAGACGAGAATTTGCTTATTTATGTACATTTACTTTCTGTAAATATTTTCAATTTATTTCCATTTATGCGCTGTCTGCCCTCACACTCGGCTCTAATTGTCATGTAATGCATACTTTTTGCTTCTTTTTTATTTTACTTTTATTTTGTAAAGAGTCCTTTGGCTTCGAGTGCTATCGGCTTACAAATTAAGCCCTGGGAACGCTGTCCCTGGACCTGTCATTGCAACTCTGGGCCATAGTTCTTTGGGTCTTTAAGTGTAGGCAAGTCTGGGCACGTGCGGACAGGCGATGAACTTCGCTTAAAGAGCTGCCGTCGGGCAGCTGTAACTTGGAATTGGGCCCAATTACACAGACAGCGACACGCCAGACAGTACGAAATAAGTTTCGCCTGGCTGCCTTCGCATAAATGTATATATATATATATATATATATAAAACATTGTTTTAATGCAAACGCTTAAGACATTGAAATGTGCCTGGCCAAAGGTGAATTTCCAATATAATTTGCACACAACTCCGACGTGTCAATCAACTGTTTGCCTGTGTATGTCTCGACTTGTCTCTGTTTGGTTTGGGAAACTATATGCACGATAGCATTATGCAGCATTGGCACACTTGTTTTGAACGTCAATCCTATTATCCTCCAGTTTGATAGACGACCAAAAAAGAGCATAAAACTGTGCCGAACAAATGCCAATGCAAATATTTTCTTTGGCAGAAAACTTTTATCAGCGGCAGCAATTGCGACTGTTTTCAGTATTGATTTTGGCTTTGGTTAGGAGTTTAAATTATGCAGATTTTAAATTATACTGTGCTAGTTGCATGACTAGCAGATACATATCGAACTAGACAGCTGGTTAAATTCCATGTGAAAATCACAAAAAATCTGATGCGGCTTCCTAAAGCACTAGTCGTACACTGTCAGCTGACAAGGTTTTCTCTAAGCTAAACAGATTTTCCTCGTCCCAGACCACATTCCACATCGCACGTCCTTTAGTTTGTTGCTGCATTGAAATTTGTATTTTAATTTTAAAAGTTTTTGCTGGTCAAAAAAGTTGTTTGAGCTGGTTTTCCACATGGAACTTTGTTGCTGCAAAGCTGCTTTGTTGGCAAGTGTCAATTTTAAAACAGTTGCGTAAATAAGCATGTTGGTTAATCACGTGGTTACGCCGTTGCGGGCTTCCGCTCTCGATGAAGCCTTTTCAATTCCCAATTATTATCCAAAATGTTGCTTTGAGGCGTGTGTTTGTTGCCTTTTGTGGTTTCTGCTTGCCAACTGTTGATTTAGCGACGTGGTCCACATTCCTCCCGGACTATAATCCGGCTATTGGGCCACCACACAGCCCACGGCTCACGAACAGCGCTGCATGAGTATTTGTGTGTGGGGGAGTCAACGACAATAGCAGCCATTTGTGGCCCTCGGGGGCTGCTAACCTTGCGCGGTTTCGGTTTTCATCGACCCTGTTGTTGGCAAGGCAATTACATTCAATTTGCACCTGTGCACCTGTCTCCCTATGTACCCGTGTTGCGCTGTTTCTCTGTGCCCGACTCTAACTGCCTTTTGGCTCTTTTTAAAGTTCGACGTACACAAATTTGA